GGAAATGCGAGAGACACGGTCGAGGGCGTTTTTGACCATTGTGGAGGGGAAGTTGCGGTCCTTGAAAAATGAGGATATCTGGGATGTCCGGGAGTGGAATGCCTCATCCTGGGAGCAGATGCAGCGGAGGAGAAGGAATTGGGATTAGGGGATGGCATTTTTGCAGGAAGATGGGTGAGAGGAGATGTATTCTAGTATGGTATCAATGTGGACTTCACAAGCTTCAAAATCTCCCTGCCCCCGACCGCATCCCAAAACCAGCCAAGCTCATCCCCCCCTCCCTAACCTGTCCCGCCTTTCTCCCACCTATCCACTCCTCCCACCTCAACCCCCACCCCCACCTCCTACCTACCAGCCTCCTTTCCCCCCCCGGCCCTTGACCTGTCCATCTTCCCTTGACTGACCAACCCCCACCCTAACTCCCCACCTACACTTACCTTTACTGGCTCAATCCCCGCCTCCTTGACCTGTCCGTCTCCTCTCCACCTATCTGCTCCTTTATCCATCTTCCATTCGCCTCCCCCTCTGTCTCTATTTATTTCAGAAAACCCTTCCCCGCCCCATTTCTGATGACGGGTCCAGACCCGAAACATCAGCCTTCCTGCTCCTCTGGTGCTGTTTGGCCTGCTGTGTTCATCCAGCTCTACACCTTGTTATCTCATATTCTCCAGCATCGGCAGTTCCTACTATCTCTGATTACATAATTTATTTAGTTTCAAATATTTCACTGAACTATTTGATGTAAATTTCACTAAATTACCATGCTACTTTGTTAACATTTTAAAAGCAGTAGTGCACCCATTATGTTTCCATACGGGCTAATGGCAATGCCTGTGTGCTTTTGGATATTGATTATTTTTGAAGGAGTAGTGTCAGATGAACTTATTCTAAGTAATTGGACATTTTTTATTTTGCAAGGTTTTGAGTTTGTAAAAGAAAGAAAGGTATATTTATGAGCAATGTTGCTTTAAATGTTTCACAATTTAAATTCCAAGTTTATTTCTCATGCTTAAATTTTAGAGTACCTTTGACCAAACGTGATTAAGTTACATATGAAATGAACGTATTATGCTACACAGTGCCAAAGTAAACAAAATGCTCTCAAAAACTAAGCTGTGGAAGCTCACTACAGCTTCAGTTCAGAAATTAATCTAGATTAAATGGTTATATTTTAAATTGCATTTTCTATGTTTTACTAAGTATTTCTGAAGAAATATTTTACATCAGGCAACATATGCTTATGTATAAATTTTATATTGATTCTGAGAGTGTACTCACTATGTAATGTAACTTTTCATTGTTATGCATAATTCATACTCTTTAACTGGCCAGTTTCCAGAGAGTTTGCACCGAGTACAAGATCCCAAATGCAGTTTTAGTTCAGATTTGGGCAGAAAATCAGAATTGACTTGCAATAGTTGGGCTAAATTCTGAATTTTCCCAACTGTCCTCCTATCAAGCAGGAGTCCAAAATATGAAAGGAGACTCTGGTGTTGAAACTTCTAACTACAAGTAAAGCTTTATTAGCAACAAAACTAGTAACAAATATTTAGCAGTATATTTAATTTAACATAATTTTCTGTTTATGTCTTCGTTTATCGAATTTTAAGACATTTAAATGCTGACGTTGGGGACTGTATGGAAGAAATGTGGAGAGTAGCTGGGCTGATTTTTTTTAAAAAAAATCAACTTTGTGAAAAATACTTCACAACTAAAACAAAACAATTTTATCATAAGAATTATGTGTAGACATATATTGCAATATATTTTGACAAAATTTAGGTAATTATGTGCCTCTAAGCAGGGTTTACAAATAATATTTATGAAGAACATGCTTGTTTGAAGTATACCATTAATATTCCTTTGGTGAAAACCCTTGTATTACATCTATCCGGATATTTATTTCTGCATCCATGCTCTCAGTAACCCCTCATAACTAGTTTTCTTCAGGAGCTGAAATGTACCTTTAAAAATAATTAGGAGTTAAAAAAGCACTAATTACATTTCTTTATAGCTTTTTTAAGGATCTGCTATGTTTTTAATAAATGTGTTTTTTAAGAAACAAAATTTGTAGTTGCTTTTGCAAAATAGTTATGAATGACCATCTCATCACTGTGTTTTCTGAATAAGAATTGGGCCATTAAAGCTTACACGTTAATACATGTGGAGCTTGTTGGTCATTATTATATTTTAAAAAATCATGATACCAAAAGAATGAGTGCAATATTGAATAAGTGAAATTAATTGGAAACATTTGTGTTCAGATAGGAAACCTAAGACTGCAAACCTTTTTCTCCAACAAATAATATTTGTAATGAGATCTTGCACATTGCTTACCTAAATTGTAATAATTTAGTGTGCGCCTGTGTTGCGGACAGATAACGTTTTCAAAAATTGATTTTCTTTGTATTATATGGAATACCTACAAGTTTGTTAAAGTGCAGTAAGAAGTCTGAATTACATTGCATTTTATGATGCACTTTGTTTTTCAATTTCATAGTACAGTAATCAGAATCAGAAGTACAAGTTACAGCTTCATCTGTATATTTAGTTCCTTACGTGTAGAATACAGACAGGAAAAGGATTCTGTCTTTAATCAAAACATGAATGATGTTAAGGTAATTTGTCCAATGTACAGTTCAATACTGAAGAACTGCAAACTTAAACTTTAACAAAAGACGTATAGAATGCCGAAGGGGATTGACGAAGTAGACACACAGAGGATATTTTCTCTTGTAGGGAAATCTATAATCAGAGGTCATAGTTTTAGAGTAAGATGTAACAGATTTAAAACAGAGATGAGAAATTACTTCTCACAAAGATCATGAATCTGTGGAATTCACTATGCCAGAGTGTGGTGATGCCAGGCCATTAAGCAAATTAAGGAAATAGATTTTTAACTAATAATGGTTTGAAGAATTATGGAGAGTCAGCAGGAAAGTGGCGTTGAAGCCGAGGTGAGATCGTATTGAATAGTGGAGCAAGCTTGAGGGGCTAAATTGCCTAGCTCTTGTGTAAAAGGGCAGCACTGGATATCACTTGGATGGTAGGCATTAATGGTTGAAGCCTGTTTTTAACTTATTCTTAATTATGCATGTTGACGGAATCAGACTACAGCACAATTTATTTTTTGTTTTATCCTGTCTGTTTCAGATTTAACAGTCATTTAAACATTAAAAATCTATGGATTTTTCGGTCTGCAGTGAATTAATGGTTTTCATTCCTTACCTCAAGGAAAGTTACCAACAAGTCTGGTGAACTCTGTGCAATTTTGATGTTAGTTTGATTCCAGTATCAGCACAAGGGAATCCTAGCCATCTACACACTAGTGGGTTAAGCAACTAACATACATAGACAAAAACAAAATCTAGGAAATAAAAGAACTGATAATCAGACACATTTTAGTCATTTGCAAATTATAAAATAAAAATCAGGATTTATGAGATTAATTTGAAGCTGAAATACCATAAAATTAGAAAAAAAATGCTTACCTTAAAACTGTTTTCTTTTTGCTGTGGTGGGAAGACTTCATGTCCTAAGAATATAAAAATATTGTTTTAAGGCACGAGAAGATGCTCTGCAGTAATCATGTACCTAGCCTGTCATTAAAAGTCCAATTACACTGAATTCAAAATGGCACAATTTTTTCAAGTGGTTTTGTAGCAAAATTAAGAATGGGGAAACTCAAGTTCATGTTAACTCGGGTGATTTCTGCAACTTTCCATTTGCTGGAGCCTTGTCATGAAAACTATGGAGGAGAAGGAATCACTGACAACAGCTTTTGACTGTCAACATTTAAGTGTGTGTGATGTTAGATAGGATTTTCAGTATTTTGACTTTGAGTTCTTGAAGGAATAATAGTTTCAGGATGATTTTGTGACTTAGATAGGTGGTGCTTCTATGCTATTGCTGTACATATTCTTTCTTGATGCTATATACATTATTGGGCAGAGAAGTGTTAAAGACACATTGATGAGTTGCTGTCGTGTACTTGTGTTACAGCCATAGAATGCTGATGAGGACAAGGGTTCAGTGAGTTAAGTGTCAGTGTTGCCAATCAAGTAGACTGTTTTGTATTGATAGTGTCAAAATTTGTTTGTGGCCAAGGGAATAGTTCAGGACCTGTTTCTTTGGCCCTTTTATGGTACAGAAAACGTATAACCACATATGTTATGATTTTTTTTTTAGTCTTTAACAATATTTGGCACAAAGTGCCTCTGCAGTGCTATTCAGATGACTTTTATTAAAATTCAGTGAGCTTGGTTACCTGAGGAAAGCAACTTATTATCTATTTCGGAATCTGAAAAATTATGCTTGTTCTTTTCCTGCTTTTGTTTTTGGTTTTTATTTTGGTTCACGGCTTTCAAATCTGTGAATAATTTTAAAATTTAATTGTGTGGGTGTTGACCAGAAAGCTGAGGTTTAGTTGGATGTCTGCCACCTCATTGTCATTCCTCTCTTGTCAAAGTAAGAGAAGCAAAGTGTTCTTAGCCACAAGAACTGGTGAGTGCAGTCTTTAATTTGGCTTGATCCAGTTTACTTCATCTGGTTGTTTCGTTCCGTCAGATGGTCAGCCTAATCCAAATGGGAACTGTGTAAAAATTACGCCACACCCTATGCAAAGTTTAGCTCAGTATTTTGAGTTAAACACAATTTGCACTTCAGAAATAACTGTAGGAATAAATTGTAATTTATCTAAGTTGCTGATTACTCCATGTTTATAATGTGGACTTTTTTCTGTGTGGTTGCTGCATTACATCCCATGCAGTGAACATCTGCAACGTATGGTTGCATGAAATTATGTTGCTAAATATAATTATTTGAGAAATATATAATTCATTGCATGAGCTATAATGATATGCAAGTTTGATATTTAAATAAAGGCAGGGCTCAAAGATGGGGACCACATGAAACAAATTGTTCCAGTAACTATGCAAAAAACTGATCAACTGAACAACTAAGTAAGATTTAATTAAATTCTGTTTTTTCTCTTGTTATAGTCACCAATCTAAATGTCTATGATGGGGAGATGGGCAATAAAGAGAGTCTAGAAAAGTGAGTGTTTGAAGGAAATAAATTGCACTATATAATGACTTAAAAAGTTACACACTTTTAATCAAATCAAAATTAATAGCTATATTTTCAGTATGTATTGATTTGTATAATTATCAGTACCGTTTAGATCATATATTAAATATGTTCAATAATTAAAGTGTATATGTACACACTGTGTTCTATTGCCTGTTGATTAATGTTTTACTTCAGAGGGCATGGGCGGCAACATCACAGTGATGCTTAAAAGAATTCTGCAGTTTCACACTGTATTGGAATTGAGCTTTATGATGTCAAGTTGAAATAGTATCAGAATCATTATCTCATGCCAAATGGAAGAAGGAAGTCACGTTTTAATCATAATTCAGTATTGAATTGTGTTATTTTGTGACTTTTCAATCAATGTGCAGACATTGTTACATTGCATCAATTTGGAAATAGTACTGTACATCAAACTCCCCTGTGAAAGAGCTTACTTTTCCAGCCATTTCAGTATCATTTTGGTAATGTATTTCCTCTCTTTTAACAAAAATATCATCATCCTTTTTCCTAAAATATGATTTATTTCTTAATGGAGTTTTATATCACACTTATCCTACACTGCTACCAAGGAAATTAAGTCTCACTCTTCATGGAGACTCGAATGGTTCATTGCCTGTTAAGCCCATTCCTTTCAATCTGTCGACTGCTCAGTTGGATGATGTATGTTTGATTGTAGAATACGATATAAAAGTATTGGTGTATCATGTTCTCCGTAACCCTGTAACTTGTTTCTATTCAATGTTTAACTTTGACTGCCATATTTCTCAACCCAAAATGCCTGGAATTGACAACACTCACTTTCTCAGTTGAAATTTTCAGTCGGTGTCTTCTAGCCTATTTACATCAGGGATGAGGAATATTGTGTTAGGCACATTGAGATTTCAAAATCACGAAACTGAGAACGTGTTAATGTAATTTATAAAAGAAACAAGGCCCAGGAGTTAAATACTCAACATTTAAAATTTAATTGTTTATGTTTTGAATTTTCCCTGCACTAAGTCACCCATTGAATAGAAACGAGTTACAGGGTTATGGAGAACATGAGACACCATTATTTTTATATCACATTCTACAATCAAACATACATCATCCAACTGAGCAGTCGACAGATTGAAAGGAATGGGCTTAACAGGCAATGAACCATTTGAGTCTCCATGAAGAGTGAGACTTAATTTCCTTGGTAACAGTGTAGGATAAGTGTGATATAAAACTCCATTAAGAAATAAATCATATTATTGCAACGCATAATGAGTTGCAAATCAGCCCCCAAGATTGTTTGATGCCTCACTGGACGTACTGGTTGAAGAAGTGAGAATGTAATTGTTTTTCCAATCAATAAATGGAAGAAACTCTAAGATGACTTTGAGCTGAACTGAGGAAATTAAGGTCACCTTCAAATCTTGAGAACAATTGAAATGTTAACCTATTTCTTTGCACAGCTACCGACTGATGTGCTGAGTATTTCCAGATTTTCTTTTCATTCCTCAGATCAACAATCTAGTCATCTTTGCTTTCCATTCACTATCACCCATCCTCTCAGAGTCACAGAATTGTTCACATGTAGAAGGCAGTCATTTGACCCATCGTTCCCACACTGGTTCTCTGAATGAGGATTACAATTCACAGCCATTCTCCTACCTTTTCCCCAAAACGCTGCATATTGTTTCTACTCATGGAATCATCTAATGCACTGTCGAATGTTTTGAGTAAAGAAATCTTGCTTTACTGCAGAGAACACTGGTGAGTCTGCACCGAGAGTATTGCACACAATTGTAGTTTCCTTGGCTGAAGAAGGATATACTTGCCATTGAAAGGACACAGCAGAGGTTCACCAAACCAATTCCTGGGATGAAGGTACTCTCCTGTGTGGAAAGATTGGGGAGGTTGGCCTGCATTCTCTGGAGTTCTGAAAAATGGAGAGATAATCTTATACAGACTTAGAAAATTCTTAAAGGGATACAGAGTAGATGGAGGAAGTTTTTTTTCCCCCCCTGATTTGTGAGGTCAAGAACCAGGGATACAGCCTCAGAATAAAAGGCAAGTCATTTTGGACTGAGATGAGGAGGAACTTCTTACTCAAGGACAGTGAATCTTTAGAATTATGTACCCTAGATTGCTGTGGAAGCACAGCTATTAAGTAAGTTGAGACCGAGACTAATCGATTTCTAGTTACTAATGCCGTTGAGGGATAGTGGTATTATGTGCCAATATGACTTTTGAGTTAGATGACCAGTCATGATCCAGGATGGTGGAACAGGCTCAAGAGGCTGAATGGCCGCCTTAAGCCCCTGGGTTTCTTTGACCCTGCTTCCACCAGACTTCCAGGCAGTGCATTCCAGCCCCTAACTATTTGAGTGAAAATAATTTCTTCTCATCTCACCATTGTTTCTTTTATAAATTATATTAACATATTCTCGGTTCCATGATTTTGAAAGCTTCTTTCAAATCTCCTCTTGGCCTACTCCTCTCCAAGGAAAACAATCCCAATATCTATCTTCATAGTCTGGAATCTTATCCTTGGAATCATTCTTGTAAACCTCTTCTGCATTCTTTCCAACATAATCACTTCCCATAGTGCGGCATCAGAACTGTACACAATTGAGTTATACAAGTTCAGCATTACCCCCTTGGTCTTGTAATCTATGTCCCTATTAATAATGCCTGGAGTGCTGTAAGCTTTATTAAGTGGTCTCGCCTCTTGTCCGTGCTACCTTTTAATGATTTATGCATATGTAATCAGGCCTTGCCTGCATACTTTAGAGTGGTACTCTTTGTTTTCTACCATATCTCTATGTTGTATCAAAATGTATCAACTCTCACTCTTTCACGTTTCCATAGATCACACCCATGTTTCTTGTTGGGTGAAGTTATGTCTGGTATAAGGTTATATCATGACTGGCAATGTCTTCCAACTTTTAATCAAATTTTGTATTGTCTCTCTCAGTATTTTACTCTGACACTCCACTCAACTGACGACAGCTGTTTTTGTAATATTCTTAACAGTTTTGCAATGGGTGTGTACATTCTAAAATGCAATTTTACAAAAACAGTACATTCCCAGCTGTTTTCTAACTCTTTTGGTTTAAGAATCCAAACCTACTTGAATTGCATCATTATAACTAATTATGTTAAATATACACACAGTAAGTATCTGTGAAGTCTATAAGGAAGATGAAACCTTTTGACCTAACCACATGAAATTGTGAACCAACCCTTCAATATTCAAACCAGACCTCTCTTGCATTCAAGAAGTCGGTTGAACATTGAACACTGAAAATCACAGGGTTGAATTTTACCAAAAATCAGTTAAATGTCAATTTTGAAGAGTTTTATGGAGAGTTTCCCTCCATGAGCCCTAGTAAGTTGACCCATGTAATTCTCCATTGCACTCATTATTATGTATGTACCAGACCTCAATGGCACCACTCGTGCTATCATATGCCAACCATTGGCAGAGTTACTTGCCACTGTTGGGACCTTCTAGGATTCATGCTGCCAGTGTCATATTTAAAGCCCTGCTCTTTGCCAGTTCAATCACTGCAAGCTACAAGTAACCCTTCACAGTACACATTGTAAGAGGGAAATGAAAAAAAGCAGCTTCTGAGGGTACATAGGTGGTACAGGTGATGATTTGTTGCAAATAAGAACTCTCATTTATAAATGTAATGCTCCTTTACATCATTACCTGTCAAATGAACTGTCATTGAAAATAGAGCTACAAGCAGGTTACCTGTCCTGACTGCCATACCATGTGAAAATCCTGCCCAGTGGAGTGCTCCTGCTTCCCTAATGCCCAGCATTGCATGACATCTTATTGTTCAATGTGGGGGTATCAAATGTTATAAACTCTTCAAAGAATTTAACATGTTAACCGTTATTAAACAGCCAGGAAAGGCGCAGAGAATACAATAAACACAAAGCTGAACTTAGCTCCAGGAATAAACAGGGACTGTTTTCCTTTCAAGCTCAACAAATTTATAAACAGCGGATGATCATTTCATCCAACTCACATCTATTGGAACTGAGTGTCAATTATTCTTGTCTGGCTTTTTGCTCCTGATGCTCCTGTGCTCTTCATGCAGAAGGGAATGAACCTCCTGTTCAATGTCCTTAACTTCGTCCCTGGAAGGCTGCCTTTGCTGTCCCAGCTCACAAGCATCCATCACATCCTCTTTGTGCAGTTGGGCAGAGTGCAGTGCACTAGGATAATACGCCACAATCTGTTTGGACTGTAGTGCAAAGCCTTCCAGGCTGATCTAGGCATCGGAGCCTTATCTTCTGGTGGTCTACTGTCTGCTCCACCATGATCCTGGAATAAAAATGGGCTGCATTGTATCGACGCTTGGCCTCTGTCATGGGATTATGTAATGGAGTCATCAGCCATGGCTGCAGAATGTAGCCCTTGTGCCCCAGTCACTAAACTTGTAAGATATCGAAACAAAGCAGGAACATGTAAGGTCTCAAATGTGGGCATCATAGCAACTGCTAAAGAACTTTGCACAGACTGATAATCACAGATAACTTGTACATTGATGCAATGGAATGCTTCTCTGTTGATGAATTCACCTATGTTATGAAATGGCACACTCAATACGTGTGTCCAGTCCATAGCGCTTTGCATCTGGGGGAAGCCAGCTACGTTGGCAAAACCTACTGCCTGGGCTGCAGCACTGACCTCATCGTGAGGAAATGAGATGAAGAGTGTGATCTGACACAAATGGCTTTGGCAACTCCCTTCATACATTTGTGGGTTAAGGATTGAAATATTGCATACAGCTCTCCAGTGGATCCTTGCAAGCAGCCAGTGGCATAAAGATTTAGTGCAGTTCACGGCCTCCATGATAGGATGGCCACTCCCCCTTTCAGGTCATCTGTTCTGCTCTAGCAGATGGAACAGTCTGTGGTGATGTCCCAGAACATTCTCAGTTTGCAGCAGCTCGGGCACCTTGCTCACCTGCAAG